GCTGGGATTACAGACTGAGCCACCGCGCCCAGCCAATACTGAGATTTTTTTTTTTTTTTTTTTTTTTTTTTTGAGTTGGAGTCTCACTCTGTCGCCCAGACTGGAGTGCAGTGGCCGCTCCCGGCCACCGCAGCCTCGACCTGCTGGGCTCCGGCGATCCTTCCGCCTCAGCCTTCCAAGTAGCCGGAATTACAGACATGTGCTACCACGCTCGGCTGATTTTTTGATTTATTGTAGAGATGAGGTCTCGCTGCCCAGGCGGGTCTCGAACCCGCGGGCTCAGGCAATTCACTCATCTCAGCCTCCCAAAGGCGCGGGATTACAGGCTGAGCCACCAAGCCCGGCTGAGATTTTTTTTAAAGTGCTTATCTTGTAGACACACATACCAAAATATTTATAAATAAAATGTAATTTCTACAACTTGCTTCCAAATAAACCAGGGGTGAAGGGAAAAGAAAGGCAGAATGTAAGACAGTGAATGAGAAAACCAGATCGGCCCTAAGTTGCTAACTAGTGAAACCAGAGAGCCTTGGCTGTTCATGATACCATTCTGCTTCTGTATAAGGTTGAAAGGTGTCATAACAAAAAGTTAAAATTTTATTTAAAATTAGAGCTTCATAGAAATGAATCAACTTCAACATCTCTCTTTAACCAGTCAATATAGGTCATTTCAACTTCAGTGCAAACAAGCAGATGTAAAAACAAGATCAAAACCAGAAAGTAATTAGAAAGTAGCACAGAACACGTACTCATCCACAAAGAACCACCATCATCTACCAGATGTGCCCACAAGTATTGGAAAACTTCTACAAAAAGGTCAGCATATTCTTTTTTTTTTTTTGAGTTGGAGTCTCACTCTGTCACCCAAGCTGTAGTGCAGTGGCCACTCCTGGCCACTGCAGCCTTGACCTGCTGGGCTCCGGCGATCCTTCCGCCTCAGCCTTCCGAGTAGCTGGAACTACAGGCATGCGGCACCGCACCCAGCTAATTTTTGATTTTATTGTAGAGATGAGGTCTCACCAAGTTGCCTAGGCAGGTCTCAAAACTGAGGGCTCAGGCAATCCACTCACCTCGGCCTCCCAGAGCCCTGGGATTACAGGCTGAGCTACCGAGCCCGGGCAGCATATTCTTATCACTAGATAAAATTTGTAAATTATTGATAATCTTGAGGCATTTTGAAGAACCACGATGTACAGACAGTTCCAGATTTTTAATATCTGAAAAGTGAGTTATTCTCTTTTGTTGTATATCTATGGCAGAAAATAACCACGAATTTATTTTGTTTCTGACAGAATAAGGTAAGATAATATTGGTTTACAATAGACTGGTGCTTTAGAAATTTAAGGAAATGATCCATATTTCAGGGGTATTCAGCATATTTCGACTTTCCCCAAGTTCCAACAAGCTGCCATTTTGTACCATGGTGCACAAGTGCTAAGAAAAACAAATCAAGAGCTTTAGCTGTTATATTCTCTCTCCAAAATAAGTCTTTTCCTTAAATACATTTGTCAAATATCCTGGCTAGTAATAGCTATCCAATGAATGCTTACTAATGTGTTAGGCACCCAACTAAATATTGGTTTCATTTAATCCTTTTAATCAAGTAAACCCCAATGGTAGGTTTACAAATGAAAAAACTAAGACTGAGAGTAGCTAAACTGCCCGAGGTCCAGTATTCAGACCTGAACTTGTGTAGCCATTATTAACTACACAAACTGCCTCTCAATACACACTGATTTCTACTGGGTAACAATAATAGCTACCACTTAATGAGTTTTTACCAAAATGCTTAACAATGTGCTAAACAGCCAGGATCAGTGGCACAGCCTGTAATCCCAGCACTTTGGGAGGCCAAGGCAAGTGGATTGCCTGAGCCCACGGGTTCAAGACCTGCCTGGGCAACTTGGCGAGACTTCATCTCTACAATAAATCAAAAATTAGTCAGGCGTGATAGCGTGCACCAGTAGTACCGGCTACTTGGAAGGCTGAGACAGAAAGGATCACCAGAGCTCAGCAGTTCAAGGCTGCGGTGGCTGGCAGAGGCCACATGCCCTCCAGTCTGGGTGACAGAGTGAGACTCCAACTCAAAAAAAAACCCAAAACAATGTGCTAAATAGTTTATACATGCTATTTCAATCTTTTAAAAATAATGTGAGCCGGGCTCGGTGGCTCAGCCTGTAATCCTGCGCTTTGGGAGGCCGAGATGAGTGGATTGCCTGAGCCCGCGGGTTCGAGACCCGCCTGGGCAACTTGACGAGCCCTCATCTCTACAATAAATAAAAAAAAAAATTGGCTGGGCTCGGTGGCTCAGCCTGTAATCCTGCGCCTTTGGGAGGCTGAGGTGAGTGGATTGCCTGAGCCCGCGGGTTCAAGACCCGCCTGGGCAGCGAGACCTCATCTCTACAATAAATCAAAAAATCAGCCGGGCATGGTAGCGCGCGCCTGTAATTCCGGCTACTTGGAAGACTCAGGCGGAAGGATCCCCGGAGGTCAGCAGGTCGAGGCTGCGGTGGCCGGGAGCAGCCACTGCACTCCAATCTGGGTGACATAGTGAGACTCCAACTCAAAAATAATAATAATAATGTGACAGTCTTCCTTTTACCACAAAGACATTCACATCATGACAAGTCTCAAGGAACTTGCTAAAAGGTCACATGTGTAATAACGGAAGAGCCAGGGGTTGAATGCTGATGTGACTACAAAGCTCATGCCGTTTTTAGCCAGTACACTTAACCACCTCCTAAGTCACCTATATGGGTATTCCCGTATTTTTTAATGTGCATGCACACAATTAGACACATACTCTGGCTGTGGTTTGTTGAGACTATTAGCACTGATCTTCATATATCTTAACATCATCGTTTTAGATCGGTGTGCTATACTGGCTCATTCTGAGGCTCAGTTTATTCTCAACATGATTCATTTCCAGAATGTTTTAAATCTTAAAGGTAAGATTCCAACTTCAAATGAGAGTATATTCAAGTTTCCACGTTGTTAGCAGCTAAACGCTGAGTTTTAAATCATCTAAAGTTTGACATTATTTTTCTGCATCTTTGTTATCACTGATGGAATCACTGTTTACATCACTGAGGAAATTGTTGTATTAAATAGAACCTTGAAACACTCTACCAAAGATTTCTTTCAAGGTCATCATGAATAGTTAATGAAACAATCCTTCAAATCTGTCAAATGCCTTGTACAAACAAAAACATTCTAAGTCTCTGGCTTTCCCCCTCAGTTCATAAGCCGTTACTCATCCAGACTAGTAATTTTCCCTATATATACATATATTAGATGATTTTTGTTGTCCAGTACGGTTTTAGTTCATTTTTTTCATGATTAATTTTCAGTGAACCTTTGCTAGTTTTCTGTATACAACTTATAATCCATTTTAGAACTCGACATTAAACTTTGTCTCAAGTACCAAAAGGTTTTAAAAATTATGTTAGTTAATAGTGATTTGAATTCAGTTAAGCAGTCCTTGATTAATATGTATTAAACCAAGAAACTTCAAATACAGGAAAATATTTTAGAAATATACTCTAGAAAAGGTGTACCTCAATTTAAGAAACTAGATATAAAAGCATTGTCAGCTGGGCTCGGTGGCTTAGCCTGTAATCCCGCGCCTTTGGGAGGCTGAGGTGAGTGGACTGCCTAAGCCCGCAGGTTCGAGACCCGCCTGGGCAACTTGGTGAGACCTCATCTCTACAATAAATAAAAAATTAGCCGGGCGTGGTAGCGCCCCTGTAGTTCCGGCTACTTGGAAGGCTGAGGCGGAAGGAGCGCCGGAGCCCAGCAGGTTGAGGCTGCGATGGCCAGAGCGGTCACTGCATTCCAGTCTAGGCAACAGAGTGAGACTCCAACTCAAAAAAAAAAAAAAGCATTGTCAAAACTCTCCAGAGCTTATTTTGAGACTACTTATTATCCTATGGTATCTGTAGTTAGAATAGATGGTAGGAAACTGTAACTCAACAAACTGAAAAATTGTATGATGAATTTTGCAGTTGAAAATGTCCTTTATAAGAAAGAGTTTAAATAGTGATCATGCCATCTTGGTGTTTTGTTGCTCATTAAATATGAAAATCTTAAGACAAAAGGAATTTATTTACCAAGGTCTTAGCCTACAAAATCAGGGTCAACACACTTAAAATGTTAAGAGATAGTCAAAACAGCACTATTTCACATAGCAAGTAGAAAGTACAAGCAGACTGAAAATCTAAATTGATGCAGGTATTTTTTTCAGAAGCCTTTATTAACCCATCATGGATCTAGCCATATTTGGTACAGATACCATGATTTCGGTATCAGTAAAGAGGGGAAAAAAAAGAAAAAGAAGAAAATCATCTTTAATGTTCCTGTCACAACTAAGACCCAAATATACAACTATAGGATCAAACATCCCAGCTGGTCAGTCATTTTGACACAGCTAATTAAAAGCTTCCCCAAAAGTGAAACTCAAAGTCAAACGCTGTGCTCCTAGTGTCTCAAGTAGTTTATTGGTAGTCATCATCCAAAGTTCTAGAAACATTCTAAGGGACCATCACTACCAGTGCAGGTACATTTAATAAATGAAGGCTTCACCAGAAGCTACCTCACTTTGTGTGTAACAAGAATCGAGGTTCCAAAAACTCAGCTGTGCCACCAAGAAAAAAAAAAAAAAAAAAAACCACTAGCAAAGTGCATTTCTTTTGATGATTTTTCAGAACCTACAGCTGTTGGTTTTACACATAGAAAATAGGCTGATTTGATAATAAATGATCACTGGAAGTCTCTGCCTGTAGATAAGAATTAAAGGTATTTCCTAATTCAGGGATTTTTTTATTACAATGTAAACAGCACCAGTGAATTTTCATACAACAGCTTTGCTACCTTCCCCTTCATTTTCTGTAATTCTCATCTGTGGTACTGTTACTTCTTCCTCTCTATAATCAGGGCTGGACAGCCCACATAACACTGTTCAGTTTGTAAACAAAAAATTAAAGCTCAGAACACATATAGGATTTCTTTCACATTTTCATTTCACAGCACATCAGGTGTTTTTTATAAAGCTCCTCCAAATACACTACAAAAATATATGAAAAAAATCACATCTGTTTTCAGCCAGCAAATATTAATAGAACAAATACCTTATAATTGGAATATTTTAGAGACTGTGTACAATTACATTCTCTTGAATCATCAATTGCTTTCTTCATAAATCCATATGTATCCAATGTATATTTATGACTAATCTACATGCCCATATTTACTATATAAGAGAGCCAAGTAAATTTTTTTAGGTTCTTCAAGTGAAAGTGCTTCTGACAACTATTTTCTATACAGTCCTAAATCCCAAAATAAGTTGTTTTAAACCTGTGTAGAAAGATGCATAGCAATTTCTAAAAAGTAAGACTACACAACCAAAACATGCTTGTCAGGAAAACTAATCCATGCACTTGAATATACCCCAAATATCTTGTTTTTATGAAAGGTAGACCAACTTAATTAACATTGTCTAGAATTAAGATATAGCATTAAATTATTTGACTCCAGAAATGTCAAAAATCGTTTGGCCAAAACTTTAAAAAGTAAACACTTCCTCCTTGCCCCTAACATCAAAAGGGCTGGTTGAACCAACATAAACAATATAACTGTATATATACTGATCTACCTTAACATTTCCATTCATTATCATTTTATCTTCACATACAAAGCCTTTCTTGCAAAGGGTTCCCCCCAGAAGATATGAGCACAAAATACTAGGTAGACACTCTTCAAAGTTTTATTTCACTAACTTCAGATCAAATTTCCACAGCTGTGTTCTGGTCAATTAACTATCCTTGCTTGGCTTCCCAAAATGGTAGTACCAGAAGACTTGTGGGGTAGGGAGAAAAGACCACTTTCAGAAGCACTGCATTTACTCAACTTCCACAAGGCAACAGAGTTGGGCATCTGATTATTCAACAAAACAAAGCTTTAATAGCATCCAGGAGGGCAGACGGGCAAACCAGGCTGTAGACACTCTTCCATTTGCCAAAATACAGGCCAGAGGGAAAAACCTGTCCACACAGATACTAAAGGTATCGACAGTCATCTTTTCTTTTTCTGTTGCCGCAACATTTTTCTCCTTTTAATTATCATATCATGTAGCTTCTCAAGTCCTTCCTTCAGTCCATCTCCTATGATTGCACAGGTGGGCTGCAAATGCCAAGGAGTGGATGAGCTCAGTTCCCCCATTGCTAACAGCTTCTCAATTTCTGAGAGGGACAATGAGTTCCTCAAGTCTTGTTTGTTAGCAACGATCAGTACGGGGACTCCTTGATTTTCTGATATCCTCGTTATCTTATGAAGTTCGGTTTTGGCTTCTTCCATCCTTTCAACATCAACAGAGTCCACAACAAACACAATGCCATCTGTGCATCTGGTGTATGACTTCCAGAGCGGTCTTAATTTCTCCTGACCACCTACATCCCAGAAGTGAAAAGTGACTGTTTTGGAATTTCCCAAGGTTACCTTAATTTTCTCCGTGTTAAATCCTTTGGTGGGTACGGTATTGACAAACTCATTGAACTGCAGCCTGTATAAGACGGTCGTCTTTCCAGCACAGTCCAAACCCAGAATCACGATGTGGAAGGACTGAAATGAAGGCAGGCTGGACAGGATAGACGTCTGGTCTGACAGTCCATTCCCCATTTCCAGCTGCGAGTAAGGGTCCCAAGTGGAAACGCTGTTCTGATTGCTTTAGAACTTCTCTTCTCTGCGGATCCAGCTACAAGACTGAGGGAAGGAGGGAGAAATAAGCAAGTTATTCTCTTGAGTCAATACATCAAAACGGGTTTTCTCTTTTTTTTTTGGTAAAATAAACGCAAGGAACTTAACAAAACGTCCTTTAGTCAATAAACCAGGCGAGATATAAGACGTACACAATCCAAGACAAACGATGGAATCCGTGGGGTTGAAATTCTCTGATTTACTGACACCACTGTAAGGTGTACTTTACTCCCCTGGGTCCCCAGACCTCAAAGACCTCATTTCCGAAAGAACCCGGTGACCAGTAGCATCTGGTCTAAGTCGCCCAACCGCAGAACTGCCTTTTTTTTTTTTTTTTTGGCAGAAAACTCCTAACAGATAATCCTATCTGGGGGATCCCATTGCATACGCTTACCAGCGTACCCAAGATCCAATTACCCCTCCACCCCCAAATAACAACGCTCTCACCTCCGGAACTGGAGTCCGGGTCCACATGCAAACGCATGGGTAGGCGATTCCAGACGGGGGGAGTCACCCCGTGTCCTTCCCGCTTAGCTCTCCAGGCAGCTCTGGCAACGGCTGCGCTGGAAACCCTGGGCTCCGACTCAGACCACGCCCACTTCTCGGGGCCCGCCCACGAACCCCAAACCCATTGGCCGTCCGCCGTCGGAGCAGCCACGCGACTCCCGCCCCCGCGCCCTGATTGGCGGAGGCGGCCGCCGCTCCCGGCGCGGCGGCGCAGGGCTATCCCTCGGCCCACCGGCTCCACCTGTTGCCCTTCAGTTGGAAAACGCAGCGTTCTCGGAGGGAGCCGAGCGGCCCCTGCAGGGAAAGGGGAGGCTCGGCCGGTCGCGTCGCCTCCGAATCCGCCCGGCCCGTGGCACCTGCAGCGCGGCCTCGGCTCACATCCGGGGACCGTAGTCACCGCCTGCGGTTAACCCCTTGTCCGCCGGCCGGAGGGTACAGGCCACGGCGCTGCGGGGATCCTCGCGCGCGAAAGATCCCGCCGAGACAGACCCGCCCGCCCCGCGGCGGGAGCCCCTCTCCGCGCCCCTCCGCGCCCGCCGGCCCTTCGCCCTCCGCAGG